GCACTTGTTGAGTGGGCCCTAATGTGCAAAGGGCATTCCAAACCTTGGCTCGTATAAGCAGCCGTGATAGCGTCAACAATCCAGTGGGAAAGTCTCTGTTTTGACACGGCCCGGCCGTAGCACACGAAAAGCTGGTCAGATTGCCAAAAGCTGGCCGAACGGTCAATGTAAATCCTCAAAGCCCTGACGGGGCACACCGAAGTCTGAGCGTCCGCATCACGCGAGGTCGATGACTCAGAAGACAGGGCAGACAGCGAAACAGTCTGCGCTCTGAAAGGGGTAGATAGTGATTTAGGCACGTAGCCCGGCCTCGGCCGGAGAGTGACGCTGCAGTCACCGGGTCCGAAGCGAATACAGTCGCTGTCCACAGATATGAACATCACGGCACCATTTCACAAACACTCCCCATTTTAGAGCATACAAGCGCCTCGTGGAGGGCGCCCGCGCCTCCAAGAGTGTGTCGAGAACACGGGAATGCAGGGCGCTCAGCTCCTCTTATATCCCCGAAGCAGCCACACATGAAGGCTCCAAACTCCGGGTTCGTGTGCCACACCGAGCCGCTCGCTTGAGAAAGCAGATCCTTCCTGATGGGGATCGGCCAGGGCGGCGCCACTAGCAGCTCTGTCAGGTCCGGGAACCAAGGCTGGTTCGGCCAGTTCGGGGCGATGAGCATCACCGAAGCCCCCCTCCTCCCTGATCTTGCATAACACCGGCGGTAATATCTTGGAAGGACTCTCTATATTGCTCCTTTTTCGAGCAGACGGCATACCTCTTGTCTCAGAACCAGGGCATTTCGAGGCAATGTTAGAGACTGCACCACGCCATTGAAACGGGGTGGTCTGCGTCTGAATTGAAGGGTATACCCACGCTCTATCACACCGAGTAGCCAGCGCGAGATTCCCGGAATAACTTCGTGCTGCGCGACTATAACCTGTGTGGGCGGCGGCTCTGCACTGCTTTGAGGCGGGGTGAGTGGCACCACATTGACTGAGTGAGGAGGAAAGAGCTCTTTTTGTGAGAATGTATGCACTTTTATTGAATGAACATCCAACACACAAACATTCCAACACATGAACTTGTGGCGCTTGGGAGCCGGGCCGCTCGTGCACTCTCCTCCTCTCTTCAGACCGTCAGGACGACGGCTTAGCAGCCGGCGGCGGGCAAGAGTCATGTCGCGGGCTCCTCTGCTGGCCGTGGCGTTTCCTCCCGGTACCCCACGCCTTCCTCCGAACATCCGGCTCCTGGCGAGGAGCGGTTGCAGACACCGCTGCGGTCGCTGGCATGGGGTTAACCCTCCGTTGGGAAGAGCCAGGTGCCGAATCGGTCCTGCATGGCTTCGAAGGGAGGCTGATGTCCGAGCCTAGGGTCTTGGACACAGATGCGCAGCGATGGTCTCCTCGACGGGGGGAGAACGCACGTACCCATGGGCCTCCGCCCCATCCACGTGGGAAAAAAATGGCCTGTGTGGCAGAGTGGACATGCGCTGATTGGGGCGCAGACCATGTTTTCACCAGCTGCTCATGTACGTCAGGGAAGAAGGGGACCGACGCCCTCGAGTCAGCTTTCTGGGTGGACCTGAAATACCAGGAGTCGAGCTTACTCCTCGCAGGCTCCTCTGGAGGACTCCAGGTAAGCTCCAACTCCTGGACAGCCTTCGACAGAACCCTCATGAGCTCCTCCTGGAGGTCTGGGGTCCCCATGCTGTCCGGCTGATCAGACTCTGATCCCGCCCAATCTTCCCTCTCCGAGGCCGAGATGGACATCGTGTCATCCCCTTCCTCCTGGCCAAAGGACACAAACTATGCGATGTTGGAAGGAGGGTGGAAGCAGTCCTCGGGGAAGGGGGCCGGGGAACGGGGCGACCATTGGGGTTGGGGGAGCGGCAAGACGACGCTCCCGTCATCGGGAGGGCCCACCAGCGGCACGCTGGCGGCAGTGGGCCTCACCCCAAATAGGCCACGAGCCACATCG